TTGGGGGAAGAATTGATTTTGAATAGTGATATGATGGGAAATGTGTGGTTGAAAAAGAAGAAAAAAGTATTGATGTGATGGAAAATATTATTTTATTGAAGAATGTGTGGGTGAAAATGAGAATTGATTTGAGAATTGATTTGAGAATCAGAAACAAACAGGGCCATAATTTCAAGGAAGAAAAGCCATTTATACTCGAAGTAATTTTTACCTTTACATATTTTGGTTTCTTTAACTCCACGTGGGATACATAACTTTCAATAAGAAATTTAAAACCAATTTCTAGCTCAGCGTCAAACGACCCATCGGGAAGGTGTCGAATTATCTCTGATCGATGACACCAAGGAACGAAATCCTCATACAAGTCGACAGCAGCAACCACAGCAAATAATTGCTCTGGGGAATATCTAACAATCAAAAGATAGTCACTTCATCTAGCAACCAAAAGAAAAACATAGAAGCTGCATTTGAAGTCTAAGATTTGTGAAATAGTTAGAATAAGAACCTACCGATCAAGAAACAGCATCAGAGGTTCACAGAAAATGAGTTTTGATTTCTAGATGATGTATTGACTCAAATTAGTTAAAAATCTTTTGCACTTCGTCTCTCCCAGCTCCCCCATTCTATTCGGGAGTTGAGCTCAGGATTTTGTTTCTAGTTTGTGCAAGCTAGACAATAACATTTCTCATATAAATATTTGTGTATGGAAATTGCCTTTTTTTTCCCAGCTAATGAAGGCAAAAATGAAGACAAGGGCAGGAAAAATTCGATCTTCATACAGTTTGCACCATTGCCCCTGATGTAAATCTGAGAAAAAAAATCCACCTTCTCTAGGGTTCACCCTACTACATAGAATTGGATTTAAAACCGTTACTCACAAATGGCAAACCAATAGAGGATAATCTAGAACTCCAGAACATTGTAACTTACTTTTTGAGATGCAAAGTTGAATATCTATCATAAGCCCGTATCAATTGGTGTAAGAAAATGTATCTAGCAAGGTTCATAATATGTGCTGTGCAAACAAATTCACACAGGTTTTCCAAAATGAAATGTATATCATCTTGAGCGAGATGTAAAATTAAAGAAAAGGCAATTACTTCATGATTCATTTAAGCTATCTAAATAAAATCACGACTCTCGGAAAAAGAAACACGCCCATATGAATACAGGAAATAAACAAAATTGGGCACAGCAGAAGAAATGAAAAGTGCTAAGCATACCCCAAACCACGTCTCTCTTCGTGGACTTTAGCTAACATATTCCCCTCTTCGCCATCACCACACCCCAAAAATCCTCTTTTCTGGACAATAACAATATGATTGTTCGGAAAAATTCCCGATTCCCGTACATTATAATTCCAGTATCCAGCGACTGCGGATTTATTGTCGGAAGAAAATGCATTTGACCCCCCAATTGTACTGAAGCACCTACTCTGATTGTAACCATTATTCTTTATTGAGTAAATTTAATCAACACTCGTTAAATTTTAGTATTGTTACCACTTACTCATCTTCAAAAGTTATCACAATGCTCACTCATCTTTCAATTGAATTACTCATCCATCACCTGTTAAATAATGTTCCAAATTGTGAATGGAAAATCACATGTGACAAATGACAAATCCTACGTGGCATTGGATAGCATTAACCATGTTCAAGTCCTAGAAAACTCACCAACCAAACACGATTCCCCCTTCCTCAATTGCAACAAGCCTTTAAATTAACCCCAAATAAAAATCCCAAAATCAGAACCCTCTGTTCAAAGCCCTATTTCCAAACCCCCAAACCAGAAATTCCAATTAGCAAGATGTCGGTTCAAAACCCAAATCGAAATCAACTGAACTACAAATTTCAATGGAAGATTCAACAGCTTCTTCCCAAATATTCTAGGAGGCAATTTTTTGGGGGGGAAAATTCTCAGAGGTGGAGTTGAAGATGCAGACAAGGTCGAAGTTTCGTCTTTTTGGGTGACGCCATTATAAAGACAAGATGGAACGGTAGTTTATCTCAATTTTTAGTACATTTCCAGAGCATTCTTCCCCTGATCATTGCTTCTGCTTTCCTCACCTGCTTTGCTTGCCCAATGATAAAAGCCTGTGAGACCCGTGAAATTTTGCAAGGGAAGATTCTTATACAAACAAAAGTAAACACAATAAACTTCAAATACCCTTCTCGCTAAAATTTGATGCAATATAACAAAACTCCGTGTCTTCCAATAACACGACCCATTTTTCCAAGCGGAACATCAAGAATTGAGAGGACTTATTGTTATGGAGCATTCTCATTAACAATCAGATTGTTACTACTGTGATAATTGTGCGTTGAAGCTGATTTGATGGACAATTTTGAAGAAATTGATATAGTTTATTTTCCTAGTGTTCTCTTTCAGAAGAGCAATGTTAGTGAAAAGAGAAACGTTATTCATTCCACTTGGGATGCATTTTCAGTCTATTTGGCGTTAAATGATATGTGAAATTAAATAAGTCATTTAAATAAGTTATTTAATTAAGTTATTTAATTTCACCTAACATTTACATCCACATAAACTGAAGATGCATTTCCAATGGGAATGGATAGCATTTTTCTAGTGACAAATGGGTAGAAGATTCGAGTTTGGATTTGAACTTCATGGGTTTCATTCCAGGTTGTCAAGTAAGTTTGCCACGTTTGACTTCTATTTTCCATGGTTAAAGCTGTCAGCATGCCACATAGCATTTGTCATTTGCCACGTGTGATTTTTCATCCACAATTTGGAATGGTTACTTAACGGGTGATGGACGAGTAATTCAATTGAAAGATGAGTGAGCATTGT